GCCGCAGGCATCCTCTTGCGTGCCGTCTCCTTGGTGGGCTGTGGAGTCGACGCGCCGTCGCAGGCGCACGTCTCGGGCTGTTGTTTTGGGGGTTCAGTCCTAGAGCTCTTCCCCCAAAGAAGCTGGGCCTCTCAGAGGAGAAGGGGGGCTCGGGGATGCATCCCCGAGGGAGCACTCGGACGCATCCGTATCGAGGATGGACGCCACTCCGTCGTATATACCTGGGCTTGGCCCCTAATCAGCATGGCCAGCTGAGCATTCAGAAAGAGGCCATGGACTTGGGTCGACATACCCCACGTTGGCAAGCTTAGCAATGTTAATGTGTTGTTTGGACAGTGCGGACGTCATGGGCTTCCTACCAGCATGCAGAGCCAAGCGGATGAATATCGACTGTTTGTGCCCCCGTCCTGTTCCGCAAGCCAGCGGTGGCTTCGACACGGACGGATGTTGAGGCCGACATCATTTGGCATCAAGTCGAGTGAGACAGGTTGCGCGCGTATTTGCAGCTCACAGGAGTCGAGCTGGATATGGGTGGATGCGGACGACAGCGACGCCTTCGGGGAATATTGTGTCTACTATGCAGCTGGCTGCGACAACCAGGACGTGCGCTTGTTGCGTGCAAACAGTTCACGGGCTATCCCTTTCTTATATTATTTCCTCTCTCTTGTCTTCGGTCCTCATTCCACTCCACTGCGTCCTCTTATCCGGGGAATCCTCGACCCGTGGGCTTTTCTAAATTTCTGTGACGCCGTGTGGAGCCCGGTTCCTCCAACTTCTCCTCCTCCTCCTCTTCCTCCTCCTCCTCCTCCTCCTCCTTCTCCTCCTCCTCCCCCTCTTCTCTTAGAGTTGATTTCTTGACCCCTCCTGGGGCGCTTTTCCACGCGGACTTCGCGACGGATCCCTCCGTGGCGATGTGCCGCCCCCCCCCCCCTGGAGGCGAAGGACGTCGGCTCCTCTATCCCTCTCATCCTCCCCCTGCTCCTGCTCCTTTCCATTTGCCCTGCACGTGCCAGATGGTGGTCGTGAACGCGTTGCTGAGCACGGTCGGCTCGGGCGCCTACCACTGCGGCGTCGAGGCGAGGGGGTGGGGCTGACCCCGAGGTGGGGGCAAGGGAATAGTTACTCCTCCCCTCCTCCTCCTCCTCCTCCTCCGCCTCCTCCTCCTCCGCCCCCTCCTCCTCCATTCAGTCACAGCGGGCGTCCGTGGCTCGGTTTCGCGGTTCCTCCGTGTTGCGTGAGGGCGGGGGGTAGGGGGAGGGGGGGAGGGCAAGCTAGGTGCGCTCGCGTCACATCTGACTTCCTACCCCTCCCTCCTGTCCCTTACCATCGCGAAGGTATCTTGTCTATCCGCACAGTCGGATGTCGAGCAGGGCAATGATCCGGAGAGGGTGCGCGATGCATCGTAGAGCATGGCAGAGCGTATTGTGTCATAGCATGGCGTGGTGTTGCGTAGTGAAGAATTGCATCACAAAGCATTGCAATGCAAGTAATAGCATCGCACAGCGGCACAAAAGAACCTGGCACAGCAAAGGCGTTGAAAATCAAAGCGTAGCATTGCCTAGTCTGGCGAGGCACGGCGCAGTCAAGCACTGCATATCCTAGCATTGCAGCTGAAGGCATGGCATCGCACAGCGGAACACCACATAGCATGTTATGTCGTGCCGTGGCAGGCACTCGGGCTCCACGCCACCAGGGCGGTTGTAGAGGCCACCCGGCTCAATCCGGGCCTTGCTGCTCGATATGCCGCCCCGGCACGTTTCCGGGCCGACTCGCAGGAATCGGCTCGCACATGGCTCGATGCGGCGAACCGGCTCCGTATACCTCTCCAGGTCAGTAGCCACCGACAGTGTGTAGCCGCCGACAGTGCTTTCACGTGTCCTGTGTGACCACGGCCGGGTTGGTCCCCTAACGGCTGAGAAAAACAGCCAGGTGTGGTAGAGGAGTGCAATTTTGGGGGATGCCAGCCCGTCGGGTTTGAGCCCCCTCGGAGCAGAGCAGTTCGGACGAAGACCACGGGCTGAGCTTGAGAGAGCACTTTTCGAAGGCATTAGGTCGCGGTGATGATCGCGACGAAGGCCATGGACTGAGCGTGAGAGGGCACTTTTTGAAACAAAAAGGAGAGGGCACTTTTTGAAAAAAAGGACGTCACTGACATCGACAATGGCCGCCACTGCCGCCATCATCCCTCAAGCACCTTCGCCAGAGACATCGACAACATCATCGTCATCGGCTTCGCCAGCGTCGACACCGTCATTTTCTCCCCGTCGTCATCACCATCATGACCGCCACCTTCGCTACTATCATCATCGTTGCCGCCGTCGTCGCCGTCATCATGATACCACCGACCCGCATTGAAGTGCCCGCGCGCCAGCGCGGCCTTTGACATGCGCTGGGACGCTGCCGCTGGTAAGCGCCATCGTGGCGTCATCGGTCGCGCCAAACCGCGTCGTCTTCCGTGCGTCATCGCGGCGTCATCGGTCAAGACCGCTCTGCGTGCGTGCTTGCGCGCGCCAGCGCGGACGCAGAGATGCGCCAGCCGTGGCCAAGCAGTCATCGCAATCGCCGCCGCATGGCTGTTGCAAACCAAGTTGCGGGTGGGAGAGTGGGGCAATTGATCGAGCGATGGAGTTGACATCATAAGTTGGGCCAAGTGTGTTGCAACACGTCCACTGCGCAAGCTTGGTTGCACCACACAGTCTGCACCATGCACGGCTTGCGCGGCCGATATTGCACATCGGGGGGGCCAGCGCACACGCGCTGAACTCTGCATTGACAATGTCCTTCCATGATGCTGGGCGTTTGCCCGATAGGACCGACATGGGGACAAGCGGCCGGGATGACTGCCGACAGCAGCTCCGGTCATTTTGAAGAGGATTCACTGTCGGGATCTCCGCGGACAGCGCCTGCTTGTCACGGCGAGGATCGCCCGCCTTGCAGCGAACCGCTGTTGTCCTGGACGGCAGGTACTGATGGGCATCGCCCCCCATCTCTGTCGTTTTCGTCCCAGGCGAGCCCATATCTGGAAAGAAAGATGACAAGTTAGAAGAGAAGCCTCCCTACCCCTCCCCTCGCTCCCGCCCCCCAAGGGGAGGCGGCCCTGCCCCCAGGAGCTGAAGGATCAGCGCTCCACCCTGGACATCCGACGTCGCGCGGCTTGTTTCCACGACGTGGTTTCCAAAAGATCTGAGCCCCTTCCCGGGGCTTTTGGTTCTGATCCCGGCTGGTTTCTCGACGTCCCCGGCCCCCCCCCCCCCGGGGGTCCCGAAGATTATGATTTCAGCCTTCCGTGCTGATTTTTGCTCGCGGCGCGAGGATCGGGGGCCACATGCGAGCCCTAACCCCCTACCCCCCACGACTTCTGAGGGGGAGGGTGGGGTTCACTCCTTTCGCGAGCTCCCGAGCGAGGTGAACCCCCCCCCTCCCCCTCAGAAATCGTGGAGGGTAGGGGTAGGGTTCGCATGTGGCCCCGTAGAGGATGTCAGGGGGAGGCCGGGGCGAGCCAGGTGCACGGTCGTGAATGGAGCTTCCGCGGCACGGACGACCGCAAGACGGGCATCTTCTCGTGCACCCCGAAGCGCTGCTCGGAGACCGCCGCCCCCCGCGGCGGCGCGGCTTTCGAAGCGCCCTCAGACACAGCCTGAACCGTCGTCGTCGTCGTCCTCCTCCTCCTCCTCCTCCTCTCCTCCTCCTCCTCCTCCTCATATCTCCTCCTCCTCCTCCTCATATCTCCTCCTCCTCCTCCTCCTCCTCCTCCTCCTCCTCCTCATCATATCTCCTCCTCCTCCTCATATCTCGGTTTCCTCTTATGTCCTCCTGGCCCTTCTCCTCCTTTTTCGTACCTCCGTGTCCTCGTCTCTCCGCCTTCCCCTCCTCCTTGGCCACCAGGGCTGCAGCGCGCTCTGGTGGGAGGCGTGCCCATCGGGAGGTTGTTTCTCGCAGCGCCCTAGTGGAAGGCGACAGCTGCGGCGACAGGCCGCTGGCCCCAAAGCGCGACTGGCAGCGAGGGGAGACGGGAGGACCAAAGGAGGGACCAGGACAGAACTGGAATAGGGGACGAACACTGACCTAAACAATTGTTTGATCCGCGGGTCGAGAGCGCACCTCTTCCAGTCGAAGCTAAGCGGGCCGCGCGAAGCCTGAATTAGGCAGAGAAGAGGAGGGAGGAAGCGGCGGAGCCTCGGAGCGAGGCCGAGAGGAGGCATAGCACAATGACATAAACAATCATAAACATTACAACTCGGAGGTCCGCGCGGATTTCTCGGATCCGCGCTGGACCCCCCTGGCGGCGCCTCCGGCGCCGCCCCTGGCGCGCGCCAGGGAGGGGGGTCCATCACCACCTACCAAACCACCCCAACCCAACCCGAAAGCTTCAATTTGCCCTCCATTTCCAGCGGGGGGGGTCGGGGAACGCTGAAAAAACACATGGAACCCGTACCCCCCCCAACCCGAAATTCGGGTCAAATTCGGGTCTTCGGGTTGGGTTGGGGTGGTCTGGTAGGTAGTCAGTCCAGCGCCGATGCGAGAAATCCGCGCGGACCTCCGAGTTTTTTATGTTTATATCATGGAGTCCGGCGCCGATCCGAGAAGTCCGCGCGGGCCTCCGAATTGTTAGGTCTATGTCGTTGTTTGTGCCACTCATGGAGAGCCGGAGTCACCGAGTGCGTTCCGCTGCTCGCGAAGCGCCTCTACCTGCAAGCGTCCGAAGAGCCAACGTCTTCCCCGATGTGGTGGGCTGTGGGTCCCCCGCGGCGGGTCCAGGCCATTTGCGAGTAGTCACTTTGCGAGTAGTGGCCGCCGTTGGGGCTCCCCCGCGCCGAGGGAGGCCCCACCGCCTGGAGCACAGCTCCAGGCGTACCTCCTCCTCCTCCTCCTGCTCCTCCTCCTTCTTCTCCTCCTCTTCCTCCGCCTCCTCCTCCTCCTCCTCCTGCTCCTCCTCCTCCTCCTCCTCCTCCTCCTCTTCCTCCGCCTCCCCCTCCTCCTCCGCCTCCTCCTCCTCCGCCTCCTCCTCCTCCTGCTCCTCCTCGAGGATCGAGGAGGAGCGAACATCCCGAAAAGGATAGAACTGGAAGGCGGAGGCGCCACCCTGCCCAACCACTGCTTGCAGGGGCTCGCGCGCCCACCGGAGGAGGCAAATGAGCGGGGAAGGAAGTGGGGGGAAAAAGGAGCTCCTCCTCCTCCTCCTCCTCCTCCTCCTCCTCCTCCTCCTCCTCCTCCTCCTCCTCCTCCTCGGGGGAGAGGGGGCGAGGAGGCGAGGAGGAGCGAGAGCTTCGCGGTGCGCAGCAGCCGCGCAACAGCCAAAGCGACTGCAGGAGAGGGGGGAGGAGGGAGGGGAGGAGAGGACGGGGAGAGGAAGGGGAGGGGAGGAGAGGGGAGGAGAGAGGAAGGAGAGAGGAGGAGAGGAGAGGAAGGGGAGGAGAGGAGAGAAAGGGGAGGGGCTCCGTAGTCGCTCGTGAGTGGAGGAGAGGAAGGGGAGAGGAGCGGGAGCCGAAAGGAAGCGAGACCACAGCGCGGCAGCAGGGGCAAGGACCCTGCAAGGGCGAATTCCGCCGCAGCCAGGCTGGCCACGGAGGAGGAGGAGGAGACGGAGGAGGCTGCAGTGGGCACTCGCCAGACAAGAGCAATCAGCCAGCCGAGAGCACCTGGCCAGCGTTGTCTATCTGCGCCGAGGCAAACAGATCCTGCTGAGCGGCTCCTAACACGCTCCGCCGTTCCGCGGGGTCCGCCGGCGCCAAGAAACACAGTTAGCTCGTTGGCCCTCCCACCGAACCAGCCGAGACACTCAGTCGCTAAAGGTCTCAGACCAGGCCGGGGATATGGCGCACGCGCTGCCAGTCCCTTTGCTGCAGCTCCGTCTCCGGTGGCCCGTGACTGCTGCGCGTGCCCGTCCGTGGCGAAGTTCTCAAGCATGGTGACGCCTGCGTGCACCACTGCGACCGCTGGCTTTCTCGGCCGCGGCGTCGAGCGTGGCCCGCTCGATCCGCTCACGCTCGTCTGGGACCCGAACCCAACAGTCCTACCCGGGCACGAACTGCTCCGTCCAGCCAGTGCGCCCGCCCTTCGGCCAGAGGAGGCAACTGAACAATTCCACTGCGCGGGCGTGCCGTGACGAGCTGCGTGGTGCCGTTTTGTGTCGTGCCGCGTTGTGCCGTGTCGTTTCAGGCCAGGCGGGTGTGGTCCATCATTTTGTTGCGCAGGTGTGTCGAGCCGTGCCGTGTCGGGGCGGGTCTGCGCACAGCTGCGTTGCGCGGGGAAGGCCAGCGTGTGCCATGCCATGGGCCAGGGGGGGCCACTTGTAGTCGCGCTTCCGGGCGTGCCAAGTTGTGCTCCGCCGTGCCAGGCTTTGGCCACCCAGGCCGCCAGCCAGTGCCGCGAGTGGTCGTGCCAGTCCACGGCGCCACCGCCCACGGCCGTCCTGCGGCATCGGGCGCTCCTGCCAGGGGCGGCGCCAGCGGGGAGCACCCCGCGCCTCCTGCAGCCAGCCGAGCGGAGGCTGCTTCGCTCGTCCTCTCGGGAGGGACCGGAGGATACCCGAGACACCACTGTTGTGCACAGCCTGCTTCGCAGCCTTCGTCCAAACTGTCTGCTGGTGGGGGGCCGTGCCGCCGACGCGTCCTTCCCAGGCGCGACGCAGCATTGCATCCGCTGCATGGACCAGGGCGCGAGTCCGCGGGTGTGCCTTGGAAAATCTGGGGCGGGGATGTATCTGTAAGCACCTCCTGGGGGATTGATTTTCGGAGACTTCGGGAGGCGGTGGACATGAAGATGCTCGGGCTTCTGGGGGGGGAAATCATGTACATATCCATCGCCTGCCGAGGTCCCCGGAGATCGTTCCCCCAGGCGGTGGTTATGGATAAATCCCCGCTGAGATCCCCGGCATCAGAATTTTGTCACAGCGCGGGCCCCCAGAGGTCTCGACCCATTCTCAGTCAGGGCCCATTTCGATCCGATTGATCCGATTCGATTCCGATAGTTCGGCGATTACTGATGCGGCCCGATGCTCGTACGGCGAGGTTGTGCATCCTGGCGCGGCCGATGCGACTCGAGTCCGACCCCGTGCCGCTGCGACCCGATCCGACGCCCATGCCGATTCGATCCGATCTTCCGACTCGACGCCGACTGCTCTTGCCCGTTCCCCACAGGACCGGGCCTTCCTCCCGGGCCGCTCCCCTCGACGGCCCCCGGGGCCCGGCGAGGGGGCGCCCCGAGGCCGAGCACGCTCAAGAGTTTGCCGTCGTGATGTGGTCCACTACACCTTAGGCGATGCTTAAGAAAACTTAAGTTTTCGGCCAGAGTTTCGATTATTCTTAACTTTTCAATGCAAATCCTAAGATTTCAACAGAAATTCTGGGTGTTTATTCGAATTCTGAGACTCTGAGTTTCTTAACCCATGATTTCTTGAGCATTTCGCAAGGTGTACTGTGAATGAGAGCCAGCCCCGCGGCAAAGGGCTTCTGGTTCGGTCCCAAATCATGGGAGCCTCGTCTACCCTCTTCAATTCTGCCTGTAGCGCCGATGGCCGTCGATTCGCGTCTGGGAGTCGACGGGATTGCACCGATTTAGCGTCGGCCAGCGTGGACTGGCGTCGACCAGCGTCGCTTTAGCGTCGACCGGCATCGATCCGCAAGAGCCGACAAGCTGGTACGGGGAGACTCCCATGCGTTGCCGCCGAAGTCGTGGGCGGGCCCACGACTCGTGAAACAGAGAGCCAGCCTCGCGGCGGAGGGCTCCTGGCGGAGGTGCCGCCGACCTGGGCGGCAGCCCTGCCGCAGTCGACTACACGTAAGAGTGACCCTTCGCCGGAGTGACCTTTGGTGCGGGCCCATGGAGGTCCCCGATCGCCGAACGCGAGGCGGCAGTGGCGTCTTGCGTGTGCTTGGCCCCCCCGCGGCCCCCAAAAAGCCGCGCACCAAAGGTCACTCTTACCCAGGGTCACTCTTACGCGTAGCCGACGCAGCACGGCTCGGCGGGGCCCGGGCCGTGCGCCGCGCGCGCGCCGGCACGCCCACGGAGGCACGGGTTCTCTCGGGCCCTCCTCGGGCGAGAGGAGGGGGGAGGGCGGGCGGGGGGAGGAGCGCGCCCACGGGGCACGGGGGCCCTCGGGCTCTCTCCTGGGCGGGAGGGGGGGAGGGGGAGGGGCACGAGGAGGAGGGGGGGGAGAGGGGGGGCTGAAGAAGAAGAAGAACGGGCATGAACATTGAGTTTTCGACGCTCCGCGCGGATTTCTTGGATCCGCGCCGGGCCCCCCTGGCGGCGCCTCCGGCGCCGCCCCTGGCGCGCTCCGCGCGCGAGGGAGGAGGGCCCAGCGCAGATCCAAGAAATCCGCGCGAAGCTTCGAACAGTTTATGTTTATGCCTCTTTTTTTTGTTTGTCTTCCTCTAGGGAGGAGAGGCAAGCTGGAGGACGGAAGATGGAGGATGCAGGGAGGTTGACGGAGGGCGCAGACGAGGTGGAGCAGGCGGACTCAGTTGTTCCATCTCCTCCTCTCCTCCCCCTCCCCCGCCCTCCCCCCCACGATGGGCGAGGGGGAGGAGAGGGGGAGGGGAAGGAGCGGGAAGAGCAGGAGGAGGAGGAGGATTCGCGATGCATGCAGACTTGGTGGTTCTAGCCTCGTCAGAGGTTCGAAGCATGATGCGAGCTCCAGCCCACGGAAGGGGCTATGGCGTGGAAGGTGCCGACAAGGAGGTCAGGATGAGGAGGAGGAGGAGGAGGAGGAGGAGGAGGAGAAGGACACATGGAATCCGCTATAGACGAGTGGGTGCCTAAACCCGGGCAGATGTTCCCCAATTGTGCTCCTCTAGGCTTTCTGGTTCCTGAGCACGTGGTGGGCCTATTGGGGTCCTCGGGCTGCATACGTCCATCAGCATCCAGCGCCCACCACTTATCGCCCAAACGTTGACATAGGTGCGGCAAGATGGGGTTGCCCTTTTACACAGAAACCCGGCGCAACCCCAGCGGGTTGCCCCATTCCCTGGGACTGGCATTTTATCTTAAGGCGTGGTTTGACGGTCCCTGGGCACGGTCATGGCCCCGTTGGCCGACAAGAGCGAAACTTGTCTGCAGTTGTTTTGCATCCCGACGAGAAGGTAAGATAAAGTCGGGCATGTCCTTCTACAGGACGAAAGTTCAAACACAGTCAAACCAACACAGTTTGGGGGACCATTCTTAATCATTTTTGTATCAGTGCTGAGTACTTTTGACAATGTATTCTTTTTCTCCAGAATCGGCCTGCAGCAGGACATGCCCGACCTAAAGGTAACATCGACCTTCCCGGGAGCTGAACAAGTGCCCTCCAGACCTATAGACCAATCTAGGCTGCTTCAAACTTCGCGTGGAGTTTCGATGCGCAAGTCCTGGTGCTATTGTTTAGCCCTCCTATAGGGGGCTCTGGGCAAGGAGGTGGAGGGGAGGGGGCGGCCGTGTCCGGTGGACCCTGAGATCCGACGAAACGAAACAAGTACAACACCGCCAAGAATGTGATCGTTCCTCTCTTCATTGTTTTGCGGATCGGCGCGGGCCCTCGCCCCCCCCCCCTTCCCGTCCCAACTGGAGTAGATCTTGGCTTTTTTGGGCGTCTGTTTCGAGCAGGCGGGGTCTCCCCCATAATGGACGCACTGTTGCAAACAGTCGCGTTAAGCAGAGGTCCAGAGCCAGACACCCCCCCTCCCCCCACGACTCCGCGCGATGTCGAAAGGCCGAAAAAAGAAAACGCTCACAATCACGACCAGAGAACTGGAGTCAATCTCTCTGCGGCATCTCTGGAGCCAGGTCCCTCCGTGAGGGCCCCGTGGGCCCGAGGGCGGGCGAGACTGCCCGACGCGAACGGCAGGGCAACGCCCGGTGCTCAGGGCTGGTGCGGCGGGCTGGGGCTGCCCTTTTTTTCAGGGAGGCAGGCGGAGGAGCCAGCGGCCGCACCTGGGCAGGACCACACCTGGCACACGTCCGTGCCCATGGGTAGCGTGCGGCTGTCCGTGGACGAGGCTCCTTCGCGAGGGGGGGAGGGAAGGTCAGGGGAGAAAGGAAGTGTCATGAATGAAAGAACACACACAGACACAATGAATCGTCCACTCCCAGGAAGATGTGGGAAACTATGGGAAGGGGGGGGGGGAAGGCGAAAACCAGAAAATATGCTAAAATATGGGCACTCCTGGGATTTGTGTGTATTTGTTCGTCCCTGGGCCCTTTTAAAGGTTCGGTATCAACCCATTGGACCCTTGCATGTCATGGGGATTCCATCTTTAGGTGCATTCGCGTACGCTGGCACCTAATGATCGGTGAGAAAGCGCCGACGTAGCGTCGAGTTAGCGTCGGTGAGTGCCGATTTGTTTCGATCAGCGTCGGAAAGCGTCGATTCGCAAGAGCCAGCAAGATGACCTTTGAGCTTTGAGGAAAGGGGGCAGCAGGTACCCTGACGTCCTCGCGCCGGGAACAAAGACACGACGACGAGCGTGTTCGTTTGCTCTTGGAGGTTATCTCGCCTCGGGGTGCCGTCCAACAGCTGCTCGTCGTCGAGAGCGTTCCGGAGGTGCCCACGTCGAGTCGTGAAAAATCACGACGGGATTTCTGTCTGCCGTCTCTGGCTTCTGGGGGCCCCTGCCAGGCCCTGGGACCGTCAACGAACCGACTCGGGATGAGAAGCCGGTCCCGGGAAAGTGGTGTAGATCTCCAGGGGGCAATCGGTAGGCGAAGTTCACCAAGTCGGAGACTTGGGGTGGAAGGACGGGCCGAGGAGAGGGAGGGCCGGGAGGAGGGGAGCGTCGAGCGAGGGGGGATCGAAGGGGGAGGGGCCGAGGAGGGAAGGGTCGAGGGGGGGAGGGTCGAGGAGGGCGGGGAGGAGGGAGGGATCGAGGGGGAAGGGGTGCTTGGGAGGGTCGAGGAGGGGGGGAGGAGGGGAGGAGGGTCGAGGGGGGGTCGAGGAGGGGGGAGAGTCGAGGAGGTGGGGAGGGGGGGAGGATCTAGGGGGCAGGTTCGAGGAGGGGGGGGAGGGATCGGAGGGAGGGGGGGAGGGAGGGGAGCAGGCGGCAAGCGGGGTCAGAGGAAGGAGTGGCCGGCAGCTCCGAGGTCCGGAGGGCGGGTGAACCAGGTGAGCCGTGACACCAGCGCTGCCCGGGCGCTGCCGACATCGTTGCGTGGTGAAGCGCGGCAGGTTGATGCGGGGTCAGGATGGAGGCTCCTCCTCCTCCTCCTCCTCCTCCTCCTCCTCCTCCTCCTCCCTCCTCCTCCTCCTCCTCCTCCTCCTCCTCCTCCTCCTCCTCCTCCTCCTCCTCCTCCTCCTCCCCCAGTGAGGGAGTGGAGAGCCCTGCGGGCACTCCACCGCCCCCACAGGGCCCCGTGGACCTCCCGCCCTGGCCCCCCGTGGGGCTCGGAGAGCTGATCCAGGAGAGGGCGCGGCAGGTTGATGCGGCAGGTTGATGCGGGGTCGATGCGGGGTCAGGTCGCGGAGGAGGGAGGGATTTCGGATCGAGAAGCAAGGCCTTGTTGTTGACGGGCTTGGCCCTAGTGGAGCCTATCACGAGTGCTTCGGGGGGTCCAGAGGCTCTCAAGTGAACTTCGGAGGAGGAGGCGTAGAAGAAGGAAAAGGAGGAGATAGGAGAAGGAGTAGGAGGAGGGTGGAGGAGGAGAAGGAGGAGGAGGAGGAGGAGGCTCTGTAGCCATTTTGGTTTAAGAGATGGGTGCGGGGGGAAGAGGGGGGGCGTCCTGCCCCTTCTCCCCCCCTCCTCTTCACCACCCCCTCGCCTCCCTGGATGAGCGGTGATTGGAGGAGCGGGGGGGTGGAAGCGCCAGAGAAAGGGAGCAGGAGGAGGGTTCTATCGATTCCGTGCTCTGACGCCTTCCTGCCTCTGTCCGGCGAAAGCTCGTTCCCACGAGGCTGCTGGGTGGGGTAGGAGGAGGGGGCAATGAGGAGAGCCGCCCCAGGATGTTTATTGGGGGTTCAGGCGGCTCTGCGGGCTATTGGAAGGGCTTCTAGGCTATTGCCATGCAGATTCGGGATGTGCCCGGGGATTGGGAGGGCTTCTACGATTGAGATTTCGTCACACAGCTTGTCTGTGTGGGGCTCGATGCCTTTCTTCGAAGGCCAGTTGGGGGGCACATTCTGCGATCCAGCATCTGCCACCGTGGCGGGCCCCGTCTGCCCGACAGCGGCCGCGGACACTTTGGGACAACGTCTGCTGATGGGCGTCGTCCCCGCTCTTGCTGCCCCCCTCGCGTGTGCAGAAGTCTGGGAGGAGGAGGAGGAGGAGGAGGAGGAGGAGGAGGAGGAGGAGGGGGAGGAGCTCGGAGCTCGGAGGTCCGCGGAACGACACCAGAGGGCATCGTTGCCGGGGGCGTGCGCTGCGCCGATGGCGCCGTGCAGACCAGGGCGGGAGGAGGAGGACGAGGAGGCACCCGCGGGCCCAGACGTGCAGTGCCACGTTCTTGTTGCGCACGGCGCCCCCGGAAGTCACGACCCTGTGCTTGGGGCTGGCTCTTCGTCGCGGG